GGGTGATTTTCACCTCAGGTGGCCATTTCGTCTCTTCAAAGCCGAGTTAATCAGTGCTATACTTGAAAAAGTCTCAGCCCACAGAGTCAAATTGTTCAGACCACCTGAATGTGGCTAGCTATGTCAGAATGGATCTGAAGATAGGCCTGAATGACTTCTAACTGCTCATTTTGTTCAGTAGTATGATTTTTATTCACAACACCTATGTCAGAAATTACGCCTTATGGTCTTTGCTGGATAATTTCCAGAGGAAACACTTTTGATACTAAACATAAGGAATTGAAAAAAACTACTCAGCTATGACAAATATCAACGCTCAACAGAAGGTATAGATGGAATTTACGAAGTTAATGTACTCCGTATTTGGCTGAAAGTTTTTCAGTAACCACACTATAGGTTGGATAATTTTAGATATTTAGAACAACTGAGCTAGCGAAAACGTATATATTCTTTTCTCCTTAGAGTTATGGGGTTACAAATGGTCAGCACGTAAGTAGAAAGTACACGTTAATCAGAGGTCATTAATACTGTATAAACTGGAGACTGAAGAAGATGATGATACTGATGAAGAAACATACATTCAACAGGAAGCCAGGAGCTACAACCTAGAGGAGTGCAAAGCCAGGCTTCAGTTCACCTACCTAGTAGTCATCCTAAGCAAGGAGAATATCCTTAAGCTCAATAACGGTAAAGATGTGTTGCCAACATAGTTGCACACTGAAAAATACAGGGGACTCATGATGATGATGAAGCTGAAGGGAAGGGAAATGCATCTCAGGAACACCAGTCGATTGACACTAACTTCTTACTGACTGACATTAACGTTTAAAACTAGACTTTTCTGAATTGACTTCCTTAACTGTCTCGTATTATTAACAAACTAGTAAACAAATTCTCATTATTATTGACGTAAAATTACAAAAGGTATAATTGTCGAATTTGAAGAAATTATCGAAAAAAAAAATTCTTGGCTAACTCAAATGGCTTCTGAATAATATACATGGTTGAAAGATGACTTCTTGCCTGTTTAGATTAACAATTTCACACAACACCTGCTAGAATGTGAACCTTTTAACTCCATTAAAAAAAAATCTTAATTAAATATTTTGACTGGGATTATTCTATCTTTTTATTCTCTTTCTAAGTTACTATTGCGTACACTTGAGTCAATTTTAATGTAGTATAAGTTCAATGAATTATTTTCTGGTCAGTTGAAAACATCAATTTATACTTTTACATTTTGTGATTAAAATTAATTAGAACAATTATGATAAGTTTATTCTTTAATTGAATAGATAATTTCTGGCTTTTGGAAGTACTAGTTCACTAACCTAAATGTTGCTAGTTCAAATACTGCCATGGCCTAAACTTTCATTTCACATTCAATCACTATCTAACATCAATACAAGTCTGCTAAATCAGGTCAGACAGTCTTAGACACTCAAAATGAAGATTAATCCATGAATAGATCATAACAACACAGATTTTAACCATTAGAACATTCCTTGATATAAAAGTGATACTCTTAAAGATAAAGTTAGTCAAATATATAACTATTTAGTAAAACAAACAATGTGAGTGAAGAAATATTTCTTTTCAATTAGTTCCTCATCAATGGCTCTACACTAATATGGCATTTTCAAACGTAAAATTACATACCAATCTAGTGGTGAGAGTTGTTCAATGAAAGGTTATCAATCTCAAAGTATCAAGAAGGTGATAATTGATCAGGTAATTAAGACAGTTAACTAAAGCAAAGATTAATTATCGTATTGTATAATGATAACTAAAGAGCGAAAATGAACTGTTACGTAAAATGGTAAATTGTTGACGGTAATTAGAGACAGTAGGGGGACAGAAAGATGATTAAGTCTGTGATAATAATAATAATAATAATGGAGCTATTGAAATACTAGTTATAGTGAATTGTGTGGTGAATGAAATGAAGAGTCTTGTTGTAATAAATGATTGAGATTGATAACCTTTCACTGAACAACTCTCACCACTAGATTGGTATGTAATTTTACGTTTGAAAATGCTAATATATTAGTGTAGAGCCATTGATGAGGAACTAATTGAAAAGAAATATTTCTTCGCTCACATTGTTTGTTTCACTAAATGTCTAAATGGGAATATAACTATTTGACTATCTAAAACTAATTGTCTTTTTATATAGACGAAACTAGCAAAAATGTGGCCACTTAAAACGTTGAATTCAATTGTGATAAATATAATAAAATCATTTTAATATCTTCTGTTGAGAAAATGATATTAAAAGATTAAATTAATGAAAGTATTGTAACATAAATTAATGTTTGAACAACAAGAATTTAAGGATCAAAGAGTTTCATTCAAAAAGGGAGAAAAAGTATCTTCATTGAATTATTCACTGTTGTTTACCTGTTTAAATAACAACTTAACCTTGAACTTTGTTAGATGAACAAATAGGATGTTATTTCAATTTATTTTCATACTATTGAAAGGAAAAGTAATCATCTTAAAGTAAAATAAAAGTCATCATGGTTCAAGTGGGAAATAAAATTTGTCCCAGTCTTATAATTAAGGAGATATTTAAACCTTTTACTGGGTAGAAAATAATATTGAATAATTCAATTCAATTTAAAAAATCATCCATTCATCTTGATGAACAATGAATTGTCTTAAAATCATACCACAATTTCTGCCAGATGGATGAGTTATGTATACAAAGAAGTGGTGGTATTCACCACCACAAAGGGGCTATTTGAAGAGAGAACTATGTCTCAAGAGATATATCTAATACTCTGAGGATGAAACATTCGAAGAACTTACTAACACACGGGTGATCACTCAGTGTATGTGCCATCTATATATATATATATATATATATATATATATATATATATATATATATATATATATATAATCTGAGCTATTTTCACAAAAATAGAATCACCTGCTGGACTAGCTGGAATCAAGATGTTGTATTTCAAGTTTAGGTGCTTGGAATCTCCCGAGCCCAAGAATTCGATAGATGGATTCATATTTTTCAGTGAACATTTTACTTACGTTCAACACCCACTTAATTCTTAAATAATCAGCAGTAAAGATTGTCTACTTTATTTAAGTGCATAGTTCTTCTACTATCATCTTTCCTAGTTTAAAAGTTTCCTAGGAATCCTTCACTATCTCATATGTCTGAACTTCCTTCCAGGTGGAAGCAAACTATGTCAATACGTTGAAGAGTGAGAATCACCTAATATGCCTAAAGATTAGACTGCTGAAAGACTACAATAAAACATTTCTAGTACATAGTTGTTAATAAATATTCGAATTACTAACTCGTTGTTTCAGTGAATTAGTGAACTATTTAGCATGCCAAGCCTTCACTTATGCCGTAGCTGAAAAAGGTAACATTCAACATCTGATTTGATGAAAAACTTCGAAAAATATGGGTCTGACCGTAATAGAAGTTAATAATATTGTGGGACACTCTCAATCTACTTAGGTCTGCAGTATGACTCCTACATTTATTTGTGAATAGAGTAATCTTTAACATAAACAACAACAATAATGTAAGAGCTCATTATAATATATAAACATATATATGAAAATATATCCAATTATTTAATTTAATTTAGTGTGAAATACTCCAGATATAAATTTGTTTATCTCAATTTTTGTAGATTTTTCTTCAATATTAACCTCTATCCAATTAGAATAGCAAAACAGATAAGAGAAGAGTAACTGTTTAAGAAAAGAATATCAGCAAATCTAGTTATCTGAACTTTGGTTGACAAAAGAACACTATCCAAACAGCGATAAGTGGAACTTGAAAACTAACGATCCGGAAAAAGCAAATTATTATAACATTATTATTGTTGTTCCTGTTGATTATTGTTCATATTTTGGACAAGGTATACTAATTAAACAGTGACAGCAAAAGGGATAAAAAAAAAGCTGCAAGTCAGTTTCTATAGAATAGCTATATCATTTTGGCAATTATTTGAAACCATGAAGCGATAAAGTTGAAAAATTCTCAGTATCTCTCCTGCCTTCAAAACTAACTGCTGGTTAATAAAGACGGATTACACTATGTAGCTGTGCACTATCTTCCTATATGGTGGTCAAGTATCGGTGCTAAAAGACATAGAAAATCAAACTTACTCAACGTTTTCATTAAAAGTATAGTTGTAGTACTGATTTTATGTAATAGAACTAAAGTGTGGTGTCCATATAAGGAGAATTCTATGGTTAATTAGACTTTAAGAATGCTACTGTACTTCGATGATAAATCTATCCTATCTTTTAAGTCCTAAATTAATCGGTGAACTACGTTATGATCTACGTTATAGTAGGCCACTAGAAATGTGATGTTGCTTAAATCAGAAATGAAATTCATCAGCGTGATTGCCGACTCATAGCTTAAGTTATACACAACATTACACTTGCCTATTCAGGGTTCCTTATAAGTAGTAATTCACTGAAGTAAGATGACTTCCAATCAGTTAAAGAGTTGTGGATGCTCTCTTCTCCCATGTTTGTTGCGATCTATAATAAACTGTTGGATTTTCACCCAATTTTTTTAATTAACATATCTTGCAAACTAAACAGCTCAACTTTCCATGCTGTCATAAAGTTTTGTGACCTAAATGGATATTCTTAAAAACTATATGATATTCCGTTCTCTTATTTTTCTGATACTATTGTTTCGTTATACTATATTTCAGTGTCTGTTTAGGATATATTAGTCCTTGATAAAAATTGTATTAAACTGAACCCTTCCTAAAAAATTGATTTATTTAATTATCAGATATGAGACAAAATGCATCGGTAATTCATGCAGAGAAAAGTATAAAACACAGAGGAAAAAATTAGTGAAGAAAGTAAGTGCTTTTAGCTATAGTGTGAATGCGAAGATAAAGTCATATAAAGGATCAGTGAAAGTAATATATAGTGCTTCAATTGTTAGCATTACACTGAGTGCATTTACATTGGTAACTAGACATGTAATAACTAACCTGAGAGCATAGAATGACATGTATTCATATTGCACTCCTGTCTGGTAGCCGAAACTGTTTTATTTAGTAGAAAAAGAATAAACACAATATTCTAACTTATATAAGAATTGAGAGCTTGAAAATTTATGAAGTTTTATTACAGTTAAATATTCTTATACATATACTTGAATGCAGGATTCATAGCAATGTAGTAAAAGGTGGTAAGTAACCTATTAAAATGGTGTTTCAAATAAAAAATGGTCAAGTATTTTTGATTATGGCTCATTATTATGGGGTAATAAATGATGAAAAATGGAGTACCTAAATTGCAGCAGGACTGAAGCAAGCAAGCAAAAACGCCTCAGGAACATAGGCCCAATTATTTAGATGAAAAGAAGAATGAAGATATATTTGGATGTTCTGAAAATTCATTATGCTCCACATTCCTTTCACTTTTTATAATCACAGTCATCACTTACTTTTCTCCTTGTGTTTGTGAAATACCTGTAAATAATTTTTAGTTTGAAATAATGAAGAATATTTGTAGCTCAGGTGGATGGTCTTGGTTGTATTGTGTTCTCTGAGCTGGGTTGTTTATTCATGAGGCTTTCATTGTCTTTATAGACGACATCATCAGCACCAACTTCAGTATGAAGTCAGCTTTCAGTATCTCTCCGTGAGTGATTTACTAGCTTGCACTGACAAAGTGGTCTATGATTGGGACAGACAACAGCAGAATCTATACAGTCGATGACACAACAATCGAAGGAAACAACCAATCATAGATCGCTTCGTCAAGCTACTAAATCACTCACGGAGAGATACTGACAGCTTACTTCATACTGAAGTTAGTGCTGATGATATCGTCTAGAAGGACGATGAAAGCGTCATGATTAAACAAACCAGCTCAAAGAACACAATACAACCAAGTTTTTAATTTCTTTGAGTTTTATGCATAGTCTAACTTTTCAATATTCAACCAGTGACTGAACTAAGTAGAATGGAAATTCCTCTTAGCTGTGTAATAACATAGATGTTACATCGCATAACAACAACTGATTTTTAGTCAGTGACTGTTTGATTCATATAGTATCATGTATGAGTTAATATAAACTCTTCCTTTCTTCTATTTATGTTTCTATGGATTGATACCTATTGAATTTTGGATGTCACTTCAGTTGTTCGCAACGTATTTTATCAATTCTTCCTGTCAATCTAACAACAGTGCAAAACAATGTACTATTATAATTCTTGTTTTTCATAGAAAAAGCATCAAGTATAATATTTACATGTTGGCATGCCCTTCTTTATTAATAAATATAATTTAATCTGAGGTGCTCAAGTTTGTGCACATTCATGAGACTTACACTCTTTATGACGGTAGCACGTAAAATGATATGTACTTGTATGTAAACAGATGAGAAACTCTTATTTGAAAAATTAACAATGCGTTAAAATTCTTTTTACTAAGGAAATTTAAAAACAGATAAAGAAGAAAGGCAGTTTCCGGGATAGAAAACAGGAGAAGATGAATGGGAAATTGAGAAATATAGTCAACTACTTTACTAGTGTCCAATCAATCAAGCAGTACGCAAGTTTATGCAAATTATGCAAACGATCTGTAGCTCAAGATGATGAAGATGACCATGGTTTGCTTTTCTCTGGACGTTATTATTTTGTCGCTTCTCCATTGGTTGTGACAGTAAAATACCATAGCTAAGAGAACAACTAACCACTATCATCTTCATCCCGAGTTACAAATCTTTCCTATCATTTCAAAATATTTTGAGCGAAAATACGCTTCTTTCTGCTTGGAAATAGGGAGCTTGGGCAATCGGATAGCTTCCATTTGATACCAGATTTTTTTTTCCGCGAGTATTTACGGTAGAACACAGTGCGACAGTGTTAAGTAGAAACCACCCATGAACTGTCTTACTAAATTGAAGTTTTTACAAGAAAGTGACAGAAAAATGGGAGAACTAATGATATCGGACGCATACAAACAAGGTAACAGCAACTCAAAATCAAGTATGGGAATCATTCATCGAAGCAGATGTGATGAGAAAGTTGGCAACAGCCACCATTATTATAACAAGAACCAAAAGCAAGAAGAGGAGGCAGAAACTGAATCATACATTACTCAATCTTCCAGAACAGTTACTATCTACGATAGACACGACAATATGTCAAAGATCAGAGATCACCAATACACAATCTGCAAGCTTTTGCGTCTAAAAATAATTTAAAACTTCAGTAATGGGTATACGTTTACTGCAGGTCGACTAAACAAAGTTGACGAAGTGATTGTGGAAACTTCCACACACTCTTGACTGAAATAGAAGTAATCAGTCACAGAACTTCAAATTGATTCACACCATCTAACACCAAAATCCAGTGCACTGGAATATTACGTTACTTAGTTTAGTGGCCATGCTTCAAAACTCGATTGGGAAACGCGGAACAGTGTCAAGCATTAGAGACAGGCCAGGTAAATCGGTTACTAATTGGTGACCAATCCGTGTACATAGTCCAGCCTTACGCGCGATCAAGAGTGGCCTGAATTTCTGAATGGTCACGCTTCTTTCTTTACAGCTCACTGACTCAGGTTTAAATGACCGAGAGGAACACAAGCTTATGATGACAATGTTTTCTCTTAGTTGGATTATATAATCGTAAAGCTTCCATTATCATTATAGACAATATTATAATCAGCACATACTTCAGTAATGTTAAAATGAGTGGTTTTCATAGAAGATGCTTTGATGCTTTGATACGAATCATTTTTCTGAAGGCCAACTATTCTCTACACTCTTTATTATATTTTGTCGTAAGTTTTCTTACCTTACTAGTTACATTGTACAGTCGTAGAAACATCTGATATTTAATTTATTAAGGTGTTTGCTTTTTCTCATGCTTCAAATAGTATAACTGATTTGAAAACTCTGGAAAAAAAAGACCTTCTGAATGACGATAAATTAGATAGATTGAGCATTATGAAATCCCTAAATGATTTAAACAATTAAATAGACAATCACTATGATAGCCAAATTATGACACACCTTAGTTGTTTTATTCAATCTAACTGATATTGAGTTACTCAACTATTCAGAATAACTTGTTCGCATTTTTATGTCACATTGGCAATTTTATATAACTTTAATCTCTCATTCCACTTGAGTTGATGTATTCATTATATCAATCACTTCGATTTGTGAACACTGAAAAAAACTTCAATTATACATCAATAACATGCAAAAATTTATTGACCTTCAGCTACTGAATAAAATCGCTTTGATAATGAAAAAAAGTATGTGTATTTTCATCTGATTGCCGAAGTATCCAACATTAATTTTATTTCAAGTGTTATTAAAAAGAAACATTTTTCATCTGACGAATCTTACTTAAAATCTAGTGTCCAAAGCAAAAATAAAACATTTTATGCTTCTTTCCACTTCAATAGTTTAGACTAATATCATTTCTAGTGAATACTTATAAAGGTATATAGATCGTTATAAGACAAGAAGAAATTTCCTCTAAAGTGTACACTATTTCAAGTTTTTCATTGAATGGAATGAATAAATCTTCTCTTCGAATTTCTTGTTTTTTTTATCCTATATCTTAATTCAGTTGTTTCATTGTCTCAGTTAACAGTTACTTAAAACTTCAAGAGTACTTCAATCGAATTGCAGTAAGCATTAATTTAATTCTGCTAAGCATAAGGAAGATGATTTTGTTGACTGTAACTATGATGATGATGATATCAAATGGAAACATTTTACTGAGAGATAAAAAAAAATATTTTAAGATTCAGCCAACTTTGTCCAGCCTTCAGTACTACGATAAGAAATTGAAACACAAAACAACAATAAGTCAAAAACTAATATGGTTTCATTTATCTGTTTATTCAATTTTCAATTACACTTTAGAATACAAGTCATTCGCATAGGTTGTTTTAAACAATTTGTTCTATTTTCATAAAGTCATTTTTGAGAAACCACTAAACTTGATTTTTTTTTGAAGTTTTGAAGATAATCACTTTCAAGTTGTTATTCATTGTAGACTGATATCAGTTGGAGGAACAAAGGAAACCTGGGAGCACTGGACAGCTGTTTCGTCCAACTAGTATAGGACTCCTCAGCAGTGCGCACCCACAGCTGTCCAGTGCTTCCAGGTTTCCTTTGTTCCTACAACTGATGTCAGTCTATGATGAATAACAACTTGAACTAATTCCAAATCTCCACAACTCCCTCAAAATTTAATTGATAATCACTTTATCTTAATGATGGACCATGGCTAGCAGTGGAATCCAGGATGCGCATTTCGTTCTATTTGGGACTCGTCAGCTGGATTCATCTGCAACAACGGTATCATATAAAAAAACAATTATGCCAATCACTTTATCTGCAACAGCTAAATTTCAACGTGCATGACACTTTTATGAACTCCATTCTCAATTCTTTTCACCAGTTGAACGTTTCTTGAATGAGCGTTTCAAAATTACATATTGCCTTACTAAACATTAAGCGCTATATTCTGTTCATTGACTTACTGTGTGTTTCAAAATAGAATTCCATATTAATAATGAGTATTGACTAAACGTGGAATCCAGAATGAACGTTACGCCTTACTTGGGACTCATCAGCCTGATATATCTGCCTCCCAGTGAGTGATGTTGTTCCTAGGACAAATCGCTTCTAACCTTAGGGAGCTATCTACCTAACCACTGATTCAAAATAACCACTCATTGAATGACGAAGGTTCACGAGAGATAAAATCAGAGAATTACATACTGTTTTTTTGAAGTTTCTAAGAGCGAATTTACTACTTTGCATATAAATTTCAACTGTTTTGTGTTACCTAGTAAACTCTATTCTATTAGTGAATGACAGTCAGTTAACAGAACAGAAACAAACAATTTGATGATATCTAGTAGATTTCATGCTGACATCGTCGTACTTAAGGGCAAAAAATATTCTATTTGTTTGTTCTCTACCTCTATCTTAATATCCTTTTTTGCATGCTGCAGCTGCTCTATATCTAGATGAATTTGATCTTAATATGATCCGCTTTTCAAA